TCTTCTTGCAGGGGCCCGTCCCCTCCTTTAGCATGCTTTGTTGCTTGTGCTACTCTTTCCCTGCACCCTCCTCTCTCTGTTTATTGTTTCCTTGCTTGCTCCTTCTGCTCCCTTCTTCTGCACGTTCCTCCCTGTATCTCCCCTTCAGATTCTAACAGTTTGTTGGCACCTACACCGCCCCCCTGTACAAACTTGACGTCTCTGCACTGCACCAGTGGCAGCCGCGCTTCTGTTTAACGCTTTGCTGGTGCAAAGCCCCGCAGGGGTGCTGTCAAACAAAATACGAGTCGCTGGCGGCTTGCTGCGGTGGGGCTGCCAACGCCACTGCCCTGGCCTTCCTGGCTGCCCCTGTGCCCCGTGCCTTCCCGCCCAGAGGCTCAGAAGTGGGTGCGGCCTTGGCCTTGCGGGGCGCCGCCTTCTTGTGTGCGCCGCGCCCCTTGGTCTTGCGCGGTCCTGCTTTCTTGCTCCCGCCCGTGGCCTTGCCCCTGCCCTTGCCGCCGCCCTTGCCCTTGCCTGGTGCCTTGCCCTTGCCGGCGGCCCTGCCGCCACCCTTCTCCCCCTCTGAGTCGGCGCAGTATCTGTCGCTGTCATACGCCTCCAGGTCCCTGCGGCACCCGGCCAGTGTTGGGGAGCACTTTGAGCAGCAATGCTAGCAGGCAGGCCTGCTGTCTCAATCGGTTTGCCGGTCCATGAGCGGCTGCCGGCGCCTCTCGCCCCAAACCCACCTGAACAGCTCTTCGTTGTCCGCCACAAAATCGTTGGCGGGCTGGCAGCGCAGCAGCATGGGGTAGAGCTGCTCGCACACCTGCAGGTGCATGCACCCACACGGTCTATGCCTCTGCTCGCCCACCCTTGGCAGGCACCTCGAGCCGGCCATTGGGGCGCAGACCGGCTCACCAGGCTGTCGCCAGAGGGCTTCATGCGCACCACCGCCGCCGTGGCCGCCAGCGGCACCAGCTCAGCCTGATACACGATGCCTGCGGGAAGCAGGCATGCAGGCCACGCGTGCAGGTATGTTGTATATACAGAAGTTGTGAAACCAATGTCATGGACGAGGCCCGGGCGGGTGCAGTAGGCAGAGGCAGTAGCTCACCCATCAGATCCAGCTGCAGCGCCGCCTCCTTCCCACTGCCCCGCTCCACCGCCACACGCCCGATGGTGCCTGCACCGACACTGACGGGCAGAGCTGGCCGGTCAGAGGTAAGAGCCAGCACAGGACCACAGCATGGACTGACCTTGGCTGTCGTATGGTGCTGACCTGATGCGCCCGCCCACCCACCCACCCGAGTCGCCCTCCAGGTTGAGCAGGTGGCCCGGCACCTCGCACAGCAGCTGGGCAGGCTCGCGGTGTGTGACCAGGGCTGCATGCAGGGGAGGCAGGGTGAGGAGCGGGGAAGCGGTACATTCGTATGGGGTCACTGGCGCTGAATGCTAGGCTGCCATGGCAGTAGGAGGCCACCCAGCCGGCTGCTGGCAGGCTGCCAGCCAAGCCGACAGCAGGCTTGCCTGCAGGCAGCATCAGCGGCAGCTCTGCGGCCGCTGGCCCCTTGCGCTTTTTGCCGCGAGCAGCCTTGGCCTCGGCGGTGGCGGCGACTGCTGCTAGCAGTGCCTCCTCCACTTCCTGCTTCACCATTTCTCCTCCAGTCGCAGCAGCCCCTCCGGCTGCCACGCCAGTCTGCTTGCGCACACCACTGCCAAAGGTCGAAGCGAGTGCCACCCTGGTGACAGCATGAACTGCCGCCGTTATTGCCGGCTTTGCTGGCCTGACCCCTCGCTTGACGCGGTCGCGTGCCTGCTGCCGCGCTTCACCTGGCAAGCTGCCCGTGTCTTCTGAATCGCTGTCGCTGTCGGCCGACTCGGGTGCCCAGTCGCTGGCGCTCTCAGCCGTTGCCGCCCGCTTGCGGCCGCGCTGGTGCTGCTGGTGCCTGTTCTTCTTGCTATCTTCGTCCTCCTCGGAAGCATCCTCCGACTCCTGGCCATCTGCCTCCTCCCAATCTGGCTCATCTTCTGCCGCACGCTTCCAGCATTCCTGGTCATCCGTGGCTGTTGCTCTTGCATCCCCAGCAGCAGCCCCGCTTTTCCCCTCCTCTTCAGGCTCCTCGTCCTCCCAGTCCACGACCTGCTGCTTCAGATTGCGTGGCTGCTGCTGGTGGCCTTTCTGCTCCTTGCCCCACCCGTGCGCCGAGGCACCCGCTGCATCCTCGCTGTCACTGTCCTCTATGCCATCGCTGCTGTCGCTCTGACCGCCTTGGGCTTTGTTGGCTGCCCGGACCACCAATCGCTGCAGGACGGCAGATGGAGCCTTGGGCTTTGTTGCTAACTGGACGTGCTGGCAGGGCTGCTGCTGCTGGCGGCGGGGTTTGGGGTCCGCTTCCTTGCGGCTGGTGTCGCCAATGGCATCTGCCCCAAAATCAAAGCCTTGAGAATCAAAGCGTCTCTTGAGCTTGCTGCCAGCGGGTTTGCTGCCAACAGCAGCGTCAGGCTTGCGGCCGGTGGGCAGCAGCGGGCGCAGCGGCTGCAAGGGCTTTGCCGCCGCCGCCCCTTCCTTCGCCGCCGAAGCGGCCAGCGCCTTTGGGCCCTTGCTGTTTCCCGTCCCTAGTGGCTTCAGGAACTGGAGTATGGAGCCGGCCTTGTTCTCCTGCACACGCAAAGGCTGAATGCACTGAGGCCTGCCCTGCCTGGCCTGGGCTGCTAGCTCAATTGCCCACCACGATGCTTGCCTGTGCCTCTGCAGGAGGCTCCAGCTTGGCCTTCTTTCGAGCAAAGGTGTTGTACATGGTGTGCCTCTCTGCCTCGTGCCTGTTGCCGTGTGTGTGTGCAGGATTAAAGGCTGGCACGAGGGATCAACATGAGAAGAGGTAGCTACAATAGGTAGCCCATAAGGGGACTTCAAACAGGAAAGGACGACCTTAGTGTAGCCACCTAACACCTTGGACACCCCGTACTCGTCTGCTAAACGCTGCCATGGGCTCCAAGGATGAGCCAGAGCTGCATCAGGTGCACCCCAAGCCAGGGGCAGCTGCACTCCTCGACTCCCTCCTTCACCCTCACACCCGGCAGGGTGCGGTGGGCAGCGGTGCCGCTGGCACCGAGCCCCCTGCCACACAGATGCCAGCGCCCACCGAGGCGCATGTGCCGGGCAGCCCGCGGGCGGTGCGGCCGCTGGCTGTGCAGCACCCGCCGCTCCCTGAGCTCCATGGGCCGACCGTGACGGAGCGGGAGCTGGGGGAGGTTCTGCACCCAGACGTGACGGAAACATACACCACCCTGGTGTGGACTGTGCGGAGCTGCCGCCAGCACATGCCCACAGGTGAGCTGCTTGCCTCTCGAGGCCACTACTAAAGCACGAGCCAGGGCTGATGGCCACATGAACCCGTGCGACAGTCAACATGTTGTGTTTCGCGGGTTCTGGCGCCTTGATGGTGCAGGCCGAGTTCCACAAGGCGGCGATGCCGGAGCACCACCAGGAGGCCAAGCCGCCAGGAGAGGCAGCGGTGTCTAATGCAGCCCAACAGCGCATCGATCCGCAGAAGGGCCCACATCAAGATAACCTGCCATTTTAAGGGGGAAGGGGTGTCTGTTGTCCCCGCATCCAACAATTTAATAAACTCCCTGCAACAGTATGTCCAGGCTGCAGGCTGGTCGCAAGTTGATAGCTTACAGACGGCCCTCAATCGCGGTGACGAGGAAGGCATACTGCTGGGCCTTGGTTTGAAACAGGTCCCGCTCGTGCACGAAATGTCCGGCCTGCCCGTCTGGCAGCAGCAAGATGGGGCCGCCCTGCACTCTGCCGGCCTGCCCCTCCCGAGCCGCCGCCTGCAGCCGGGCCGCAAACTTCAGGGGTCCCCAGTATGGCACCCGCATGTCCTGCTGAGAGCAGGTGAGCAGCACTGGAGGATAGGCGGCCTGACGCACGGTCTGGTAGGGGCACAGTGCGCGGATCTGCGGGCAGGACGGGGTGCCCCAGCAGCGTAATGGAAGCGCCAGATGGTGACAGAAGCGGCAACAGCATCTACCGAAGGCATCCGCCCACCTGGTTGAACTGGTGTGGGTCTCCAGGATCCCCAAATTCCTCGTACTCATGCCGAGTCAGCGGCAGGTCTGGCTGGCACATGGCCGACAGGACATCCACGAAGGGGGCTTCAAGCAGAGCGGCACCGAGGGCATTGGGTCGCCGGTTGAGCAGCGCCCCCGCCGCCAGCCCGCCTGCGCTGTGCGCCTCCAGCGCCACCATCCCGGGAGCGGTGTAGCCTGCGGCGTGGCAAATGGTTCAGAATGGGACACATGTGATGGGCCATGGGGTTCAGCAGGCTCCTGATGCTGAACATGGACGCAGGCAAGCCAGCTTCCGGCCGCAAGCCACAACTGCCCATGATGGTGGGGATCGCCACACCTCGCGCCCACCCACCTGCTGACACCAGATGGTCTAGACAGGCTTCCAGGTCGTCCACGCTGGTGGCCTTGGCGCCGCCCCGCCCCGCTGCATGCCACCGCCGCCCCAGCTCGCCGCCGCCCCGCACGTGCGCCAGAGCCAGCACCCAGCCGCGGTGCAGCAGCGGGATGCGCTCCGGCAGGTAGTCTGCGGGCAGGCAGTGGCCATAGGCGCCATAGACTACTAGCAGGCAGGGACAAGGAGCAGGGGGGGCCAGGGCCGCCGCATGCGCCACCGTCAGAGGCACCTGCGTGCCGTCTGGGGAGGTGGCCCACAGCTGCTGCCATTTGTACCCAGGCGGTGACAATGACTGCTGCTGACTGAGCGGCATTGTCGCTGCTGTGTCGCAGTGCTGCTGCCCCGGTGGCTGCTCCTGCTGCCGCTCTTGCTGCTGCTGCCGGTGCTGCCCACCCAGAGGTGCCAACCCTCGCCATTCAGCCAGCTGCTCTCTGCCTAGATGCCAGTCAAATGCTGCTTCTGGGTGCACCGGGGACGAGAGCAGGAGGCGGATGTGACTGGAGTAGTAGTCTGCATTGGCTCCCGCCACCACCGACAGCGCCCAGTCGGGGAGCGGAGCCACCCGCAGCACCTCGGCTGGCGCTTGCGCTAGCGCTGACACTGTCGCTGCTGCTGCACCCGCTGCTGCACCCGCAGATGCCGCCGGGTCTTCCTCTGCCGCTGCTGCTGCCGTTGTGGTCTCCGAGATAGACTGTGCAACCAGAGGTAGGCCATGCCCAAGGGGAAGAGCAGCCACCTGCTGCCTGCCATGGCGCCGCAGGTACAGCACCAGCCAGCCCTCCAGCATGTCCATGTCCTCCATGGCACCCCCCGCCTCCCGCTCCCCAACCACCCGCTGCCAGTGCACTTGCCCCAGGTCTGGTACGGAGGTGGGCACCCTGGACGTAACCAGAAAGGGCAGGAGGGAAGGGTTGGGTCCTGGGTGGGACAGCCCTACCAAAGGTGCATGTGACCGGCGCCCGGCGGCTAAAGATGTGCCACAGACACCTCAGCCCCCCGCCACGTACCTAAACACAGCATAATTTGTTTCCCCGCGCGCATTGCTGAGGATGTACAGCTGGCCGCAGCTGTGCTCCACAAAGTATTCCAGCCCGGGGGTGCGCTGCTGCACCAGGCGTGGACCAACAGCCACCGCTGTACCACTGCCGCGCAGGTCAGCGGGCAGCAGATGCACCTCCGAGGAGGCCTTGGAGTTGCAGTTGATGGTGAGGAAGCTGCGGGGGCGGCAGCAGCGCAGCAGCACATCAGGCGGTAGGCAGCGCTGGGAGCCGACGCAAAGCACCAGGTGCACGAAGCGGAGACCAGGGCGGGTGCGAGGCCGCCCCCGCCCAGCGGCCGCCCCCACCTCCAGTCCTTGGTGCGCCCCAGCTCCACAAAGAATCGCTCATCCTCCTCCTCAAACAGCGGCCAGCTGGCAGCGCCGTCGCCAGCCGCTGCTGCCGCTGCATCGGCTCCCAGCACCCGCCACGGCCGCCCCAGCCCATTGGGCTGTGTGCACAGCAGCGTGCGCCCGTCGGCAGCCCATTCCAGGCTGACCACGCTGCCCACGGTGGCCAGGTGGCGCAGCGCCCCGGTGCGCAGGTCTCGGGTGAACGCCCCGAACGCCTCTGACCCGTCCCCCGCATCCAGGGTGAAGGCCACGTGGCGGCCACAGCGAGTCAGTTTCACCTGCCCCACTTGCACGTACTCGCCGTGCACCGCCGCCAGGTCATTCACATCCAGCACCACCTCGCCGCCTGGGGCGCCGCCGCTGAACCTGCTGTTGCTGGTGCTGCTAAAAGAAAGGCTGCGGGGTGCTGCCACGTGGGCCACACGGCGCATGTAGCAGGGATGCGGCCGGCCCGGCATTTGCTGCACGTAGTACTCATAGGCCCCTAGCCGTTCTGGCGCACTGACCTGCAGGTGGGCAATGGGGATGCATGAGAGTACACCTATAGTGCAGCCTGCTCCCAGCTGCATGCAACTCGGCGGCCCGCACCTGGGAACTGGGCACCAGCTGCAGCATTTCCGCATGAAGGGTGCTGGCCAGGGGGCCGCAGCGCTGTAGCCAGCCCTCTGCATATTGCCGCTGCTGCTGCAGAACATGCTGCACCTTGGACCCACCCCGCTCCAGCCAGCTGCAGAAGTGCAAGCGGAAACATGTCGTGTTGAGCAGCAGTGGGCGTCGCAAGCTTGACTGACCAGATGCACCAGCTGTGGACTTGGATACGCCCCGATCAGATGGAACCGCGGTCACCTGTACTCATCAACCCATTCTGAGCCCTCGTAGTGACGTCGAGCGGGGCGGGGCGGCACCTGCGGCTCACGGGGTGCCTCGGCGCTGGCAAAGAACAGATGCCGCACAGCTTGTGGGAAGCCAGCTACTTGCAGCTGGTTTCCCTGGACACAAGCAGCACGGCGCCACCCAAACATGGGCTTCACACAAACATGGGTTCGCTCCGGGGGCAAAAAACAGGGGATACTAATCAGATGGTGGCTGCAATTAATCAAAGGTCAAGAATAGAGGGAGCACCGCGAGTGCGGACTGGCCAGGTCAGCGTTGCTTTTTTGCTTATGCCCTATGCTTTCAAGAAACTACGGCAGCCGCTCATTGCTCGATGCGTAGCTAGCAGGGACCCTAGCTTGTTCAAGTCGGGGGGCGCCCTCTTGCATACCTGCCGGGCGGCTGGGGCCAGGGCTTCAGCACAGCCTCCATGCAGTTCCCAGGAGCCCCCGGAAGCATGCCGCAGCCCCGCTCAGGCGGGCCCACGCCCACCCCCGCCCAGCAGCTTGCAGCCCAGCAGGCGGCCCAACAGATGCAGCAAATGCAGCAGATGCAGGCTGCGATGGCGGCCAACCCCGCCCTGGCCGCCCAGTTTGCTGCCCAGCAGGTGCGAATGGGCGGCCCAGGCTCTGTTGCCACCCGGCAACCCCTGCTCACTGGTCCCGTGAATCACTGCCACGCTGCAGCAAGCGATGATGGCCCAGCAGGCGCGAGCCATGGTGGCGGCGCAGGCGGCGGGCCGCCCGGGCGCCCCCACCGCTTCCAAAAGCGCCCACGGCGCTATGAAGAGCGCGGCGGCGGTGGCGGGCCCTGCAGCGGCAGGCGTCGTGCGCGCCGTGGAGGCTGTGCCGGCCAAGAAGTCTGGGCCGGGGCGCAAGCGCAAGGCGATGGACCAGCGCCTGCCCGACCGCGGCGACCTGCTCATCCCCGACTCGCCGCTGTTCACGCAGCTGCAGGACGCAGAGCGGCGGGTCGACATGCTGATCAGCCGCAAGAAGCACGAGCTGCAGGAGATGTACGCCTCGTTTCGCAGGGGTGAGGGCGCCTTGGTCCCAGACATTGGCTCAAGGGCAGCGTGGCGCTGCCGGCATGCCGCCTGGCCCCCACGAGCACACGCATTGCCTGCGCTCCTGTGCCTATCTGCCCCGTGTCCGGCCACCACTGCAGGCCCGCCCGGCACTGCACAGGCCGCCGGCTCGGCGCGCCGCAAGCTGCGCGTCTACATCCGCTCGGAGCATCTGCACCAGCAGAACGCGGCCGATGCGGCAGAGGCGCCCTCCTGGGTGCTCACCATCTCGGGGCGCCTGATCGGCAAGGACAAGGCGGCGGATGCGGCGGCAGGTGCGCGGGGTGTGGATGGCCGGGCAGAGTCCTGTGAGCAGCAGGCGCGAGCTCAGAGGGAGGCAAACCAGCGGGACAGTTTGCGGGGCTGCTGGCACCGCCACTAGCGCCACTAGCCTGCCGCCTGCGCCTGTGCTTGGACATGGTGCAGATGTGCTCAAAGGGCTCTCCCCGCCGCTGCCGGGTCCCCCCCCCCCCCCCCCCCATCCCGGCTGCAGAGGAGGGCGGGCATGGGCACCACCACAAGCACGCCTTCACTCACTACGTGCGGCGGCTGGCGGTGCAGCTGGACCCTGGGCTGTACCCAGGGGAGTCGGGGCGGCTGGTGTGGGACAAGGCGCTGCACGACCGCGAGCAGCGCGACTCCATCCAGCTGCGACGCCTGGGCAGCCGCCCCTGCGAGGCCACCATCACCCTGGAGCTGGACCACCAGCCGGTGCAGTACCGGCTGAGCAGCGCGCTGGCGGGGGCGCTGGCGCTGCGCGGCCTGCACAGCATGCCCTTTGTCATGCAGATGCTTTGGGGGTACATCAAGGCCAAGCAGCTGTACGAGGTGCGCGCGCGCGCGTGTGTGTGTGTGTGTGTGTCAGGGGAGCAGGGGAGGGGTGGCGGGGCTGGTTGGTGCATGTCTACTGTGGGGGCGCTGCGTGTTGGCTGGGAGTGGGTGGGTGGGGGAGTAGCAGCGAGCTGTGCTGCACCTGGCTGCCAGCCCGCCACTGCCCCCCCCCTCCCCCACCCACCATGCCTGCCGCAGCCCAGCGACAAGGGCTCTGTGTGCGTGCGGTGCGACGAGCGGCTGCGCCCGCTCTTTGGCACCGACAGCGTGGAGCTGGGCAAGATGGCAGAGGCGCTGAAGCAGCACCTCACGCTGCCAGAGCCCGTCAAGCTGCAGTACACCATCAAGTGCGTGTCCACCCCTAACCAAGGCCTGTGCCTGCGACATGCAACTAACATTCTGGTCCATCCATTACCTGCTTGCCACCTCCACCTGCGTGCCCACAGGCCCGACGGCTCAGCAGCACCGCACCCAGACTGCTATGATTTCGAGGTGGAGGTGCCGCTCAGGTGTGTGGATGTGGGTGTTGGGACAGGTGTGGATGGGATGGAGAACGGCTGCACTGGGGACCAGCAGACTGATTCAGTTGCACAAGCCATGCCTCGCTTCCTGTTTCCATGCTGTGCTGGCAAGGCCGAGCGCTTTCTCCCCCGAGTGCTGGGCTCATGTCGCACTGGCCCTGCCGTCCCCACCTCCCACCCATTGGCCGCAGCACGGAGCTGCCGCCGTATGCTCTCAAGGCGGGCGCGGGGCGGGAGGTGGAGGGGCTGGACCTGGCGCTCGACGGCGTGCTGACGCGGCTGGCGGAGCACCGCCGCCGCCGCACCTACCTGCTGGCCTTTGCGCAGAACCCCGCCGACTTTGTGCAGGCGCTGGTGGCGGCGCAGGTGGGCGGTGTGAGCGGGCGGGGGCATGGGGCGGGGCTGGATGTTTGACTGAATTTGCTCAAAGACGCTGCTGCGGTGGTGGTGACAGAGCCGTGTTGCTTGTGTCAACCTTGCTGCACGCATGCACGATCCTTTCCCCTCGAGCAGGGGCGCGAGCTGCGGCTGGCTGCCAGCAAGGAGGGCGAGGCTTACGAGCTGATGGCCACAGGTGGGTGTGCTGCGGCGTCGGGCCAAGCATTGCGCCGGGCACCATCTCCCTCACAGTTGGTGCACCTGCCGCCGCCCCCTGCCCTTGCCAGGCGATGTGTTCCGTGAGCGGTGGGTGGATGATTGCGTGATGAATCACCTTGCTAGGAAGCAGCAGCACGCGGTGGCGCAGCAGGCGGCAGCCCTGGCAGAGCAGCAGCATGCGGTGCTCACCTCACAGCACCAGCAGGCGGCGGCGCTGGCAGCAGCAGCCGTGCAGCAGCAGGCCGCAGCGGCGGCTCTGGCTGCACAGCAGCAGGCGGCCAGCGCAGCGACGGGTGGGGCGGCGGGAGCACCGGCAGCACCATCGGCCATTTCGCTTCAGCAGCAGGCCGCGGCGCAGCAGGCGCTGCAGCACCGGTTGCAGCAGCAGCAGCAAGCCATGGGACAGCCTCCGCGCACTGGCACCGGCTCGTGACCCACCTGTCATGCGCAGCTGTCACAGCCCCTCCTCCATGTCTTTGCCAGTGCCCCTGCATTTGCATGCCACTCCGTAACTATAGTTCACAATCAAGCAAGCTAGCTGAGCTACAGTATGATATAAGCGAGGGGCCTTGACCGCGCGCGCACACCGCACACCGTACTGCCGCCACGGCGCGCAGTGACGATGAAAACCTTCGCTCTTTGCCATTTTTATTGCACAGCGACAGATGGGCAAGTCGAAGGGCTCAAAGCGCGCCTTGGAGGCGCAGACGGCGGAGAACAACGCGACAAGTGATGGGCAAAACTTGACAGAGCTGGAGCTGGCGCGGGCGGCGATGTGAGTGTGGCCAGCCACCAGGCCTGTGTGAAGGCGTAAATGGCAGCAGGACGATGCGCCAGTAGGGTTTGGGCATCGGTCTGCCGCTCCCGCCCAGGCGGCGGTTCAACCGCAACTCCATGGCTGCCTGTGTGATTGGATCTCTGCATTTCAGCATCCAGCGCAATCGTGAGCGACTCCTGGCGCTGGGAATACCAAGCCTGCGAGCGGAGCTGGAGGGCGGTAGCGGCAAAGGGGCCAAGAAGAAGAAGGCCAGGAAGGAGGATGCAGCCAAGCTGCGGGTGAAGCGGGAGGCGGGCGCAGAGGAGCACCCAAGTCGGCGATCGACACGCCTACAGGAGGCACAGGAGCACCCTAAAACCAAGGAGGAGAGCGGTAAGCTGGGATGCCTGGACCCATGACCCTGCCCCGGCACATCCCCTCTGACCTGGCACATGCCCCCTGCCCTGCAGCGTCAGAGAAGTTCGATCGGGAGCTGGGGGAGTTTGTTGTGGAGGGGAAGTGCCCTCGCTGTGGCCGCGTGATGGAGCGTGGGCACAGGCAGCACCTGCAGAGCTGCACCGGCAAGCCAAGGGCGGGCGCTGCGGCACCGAGGCCCTATGATGCGGCGCTGGAGGTGAGGAGGCGTGCTACAACCAGGGTGTGTGCTTGCACCAGTTGCATGCTCTCTTTGGAGGGATCGTAATCCAATGCACCCGCCTCACTAACACCCCCCACCGTTCCCTTCCAGGAGCTGAGCCAGGAGGAGCGCAAAGATGCTCATGCCCGGTTGCTTGCCCGTATGAAGCATCTGCACCTTGACGGCCTCACAGAGCTGTCAGCAACAGAGGCCAAGTGAGAATGGACCAGATACTAGGCGGCACACAGCATTGGGGTCGTAGATAGAGTCGTGGGCAGGCAACGTCATGGCAAAGCTGTCAAAGCAGTTAGCTGTATCCAACAGTACTGTTCTGCAGAAAACGTACCCTTCTTCTGCCCCCGTGCTTCCCCTTGCAGGTTCGCAGTGCTCGGCTCCACAGGCAACCACTACACCGTAACACTGAAGGACGGCGACAAGCACTCGTGCGGCTGCCTGGACTTTAGGTTTCGACGCCACTTCTGCAAGCACATTTGCCTTGTGTTAACGGGACTGGGCAGGTTGGATCGCCCAACAGAGGTGAGTCACAGGAGCCTGTTTATTCCTTCCACCTACTGTCCCACTGCTGTGTTTGCATGGCTGCGTGCTGCAGTGGCGGGATGCGGTGGAGGAGCGCATGGCGGAGCTGGTGCAGCAGCAGCGGGAGCAGGAGCGGCTGCACTGTGCAGCGCCGCCGCACAGCAAAGATGAGGAGGTGGGGCTCAAATTCGTGTAAGGGAGCCCTGATGCATTAGCAAGTGCTAGCTGCGATACCAGTCCAGTTGGGAGTATTGACCAGCTTCTTGTCAAGCTACATGCTTGCATGCCCTGCTCTGCCTGTTTATCCCTCAGTATCAGGAAATTAACTGCTGATCTGTGTAACACTGTAAGTGGTAATGGGAGTACATCAACAATGCTCAGCTGGTACATATTGTTTTTTCTCCACAAGAAAAGAAGCATCTCAAACCTTCTTCTTCTTCTTCTTGGGCTTGCTGGAAGCTGCCGCCGCCGGCTTGCTGCCCCCGCCCTGGATGGGTGCTGTCTTGCGCTTGAGGGAAGCCACCAGAAACTTGAGGTCAGCCTTGCCCGTCACGCTGCTGCCATTAAGTTGGCCGGCTGCTGGCTCGGCAGCCGCCTGCTGCTGCCCGTGCTTCTGCTGCTTGCTGCCACTGGCGGTCGATGCCTGACTGCGCCGCTTTGCCACCGCGGTTGCCACGCCGGCAGAAGTGTCTCTGCGGGTTGGGAAGCAAGAAGGGAGAGGCCGTGGTGTGTGCGCTAGGCGGGGCGAACGGGCGTGCAGAGCGCAGCAGCAGGGGCGGGGCGGCCACTCCACTTCTGCTTTGCAAATAAGCTACGCTCACTTAAAGCGGGGGTCTGTTGGGTCGAGCGCAAAGTGGTGGGAGGTGAGCAGGTCGGCAAAGCGCGGGTCGGCCAGGTCCACGCCGCGGAAGGCACCGCCGCCTCCTACAGCATCGCAAGGCATGTATGTGGTGTTCAAAGATAAGGAGGCGGTCGGGGTGTGGCATTGCCTCTGCGAGGCTGCAGGCAGGCTGGAACAAACATCAACACGCACCTGCGGCCGCGTCCTCATCATCTGACCCCTCCTGCCGCTCCCGCCGCCTCGCCTCCTTCTTCAGCCGCATGCGCTCCTTCTTGCTGAGCTTGCCGCTGCCTGCCGCGGCCGTCTGCTCATTCTGCTGCTTGCCAGCAGGCGCCAGCATGCCGCCGCCTCGCGCCGGTGCCAGCAGGGACGCGTCATCCATCAGCAGCATCTCCAGCTCAGCCCACTTGCTGTGGTCGCCATCCTCCTCACCCTGCTTGCCCTTGCCCTTGCCCTTCTTCCCCTTCCTTTCCTGGTGCTGCTGCTGCTCCTGCCGCTTGCCTCGCTTGCCGGCGGCAGCCAGCTCCGCCGCCTGGGCAGCATCAGCATCCGGGCCGTCCTGCAGGCGGCAGACATGGGCAGCACTCAGCGCAACCATCACCTGCCGCATGACTGGGGAGGGGCAGCTGCGCCAGACCTCGCGCAGCCGCAGCACGAACCCACCCCACCTGGAAGAATGGATCATCAAAGGGATCATCCTTTGGCTGGAAGAAGGGGTCGCCCTCGGCGCTAGCGTCCGCCTCCTCCTCAGACCCCGACCCTGCACCATACGGCGCCCAGAGGGGCGGAAGGCACGGCATGTGGTGCCATGTTGGGAGCAGGCGGCCCGCAGCCAAGCTCCATCAGGCAGGATTCAAACACGTGGTGGTGCCACACCCTGCTTCAGGTCCGCCTGCCCACCTCACCCGCCAGCTCCCGTGCACACCCCGCCCCACCCACCCGAGCCCCGCCCCGCCGCATCATCGTAGTCGCTGTCCGACTCGTCAGACCCCAGCCGCCGCCCCTTGCGCTTCGCCTCCGCCCGCTTCTCCCTGCACAAAACATCAACATGGTGAGCAAGGGTCAGTGGCCAGGTGGGAGTCCGGGGGTAGGGACCAGCTTGTTGCCAAACAAACACGGCGGCCTCGGCTCTAGAAGCAGTGTGAGGCCTGCAGCTACAAGAGGAACACGGCACCGCCCCTCACCTCCTGCGCCGCATGTAGGCATCCCACACCGTCTCCCCCTTGCGCGCCTCCTCCTCCTGCTTTCGTGCCAGCACGCGCTTCCCCAGGTTCTCCAGGCCAGGCAGGAAGGTCACCTCCATCTCCATGCCTGACGACCCAGGGTAGGCAGGAGGGTGGGCAGGGGCACAGGAGGCAGGCAGGTGGGCAGCGCGCCCCTGGATGCTGTTTGATCCATGCAATTGCACGCTGAACCAGCAGCAGCAGGCGCACCCACCCTTGTCATCGTTGATGCGCGTCCTGCCTGCATCCTGGCCCTCGCTGTCGCTGCCACTGCTGCCCTCGCTGCCCTCGTCATCCCCACTGCCACCACCCCAGTCCCTCTTCCCCTGCCGTTCCTGTGCTGCATCCACCCCGCCGCCCAGCAGCAGGCGGCGGTATCGCTCTCGAATCGCTTCCTCGTCCTCCTCATCCGCCTCCCCCTCGATGCCGCCGTGCTCCCCATCCTCTGCCTCACTGTCAGTGGCCAGGTAGGCCTGCGTCGCAAGGCAAGGCCCACAAGTGAGGCACGCATGCCCCAGGGTAGCTAGTAAAGCAGGGGCAAGGCACCAGTAGGGCTGCCAAATTTGGCCCCACCAGCTCCCTCGTTCCCCCAACAGCTCGACATCCATCGCCCTCTAGTCCCCTGCCAGCCCATAGCGCCAATGCACCTTAAAATCGTCTTCTTTCAACTCCTCTGCTGTCACCCGCCGCGTGAGCGCACGCTTGCGCCCATCGTCGCCAGTGTCCCATGTCAGCTGCACATTGGTGTGCTGCAGAGCGCGCGCCTGGAAAGTGGGCGGCGCATAGTCTACAGCGCAGGGGCGGAGGTGTGGGGTGTGGGGCAGGGCGGCCCCTCAGTGTGCAGGGGTCAAGCCGCATGGCAGCAGCAGCACTGTGGTCAAGCAATTGTAGCAGCGCAGGATCATGGTGGCCACAGCTGAAGCAGCACCCACCCACCCATTCACCTACCTGTCGGCACATCGGTGGCCTCGTCCCGGACCTGGCGCCCCTCAAACGACTGCTCCTCCGGCACAAACCGCAGGTCAAACTTGCAGGCAGCTGCATGGGCAGGCGGCGATGCGGCTCGGGCGCACATCTCAGCAGCATGGCAGGCAGGGTCTTCTGCTGCATCTGGCACCATGTGCAGGCAGGGTAAGCAGCATGAGTGGAGGGCCCTGCTCACTCTTCATCAGCTCCATTCCATCGCACTCCTCATACAGCCGGTTAGCAGTGGCTGCGGCAGGGGAAGGAGCATCCCAGAGGAGCACAGCAGGTCAGCAGCGCATCATCACACCAGGCCGGCAATGCACGCGCGGGAGTGTTGCATGCCGCGCCGCCCCCACCAGGCGCACTCACCCGCCGAGTCGCAGGTGATGATTGCGTAGTAGTAGCGCAGCTTGGACCGCTCGTACAGGCGCAGCCGCCGCTGGTCCACCTGGCCACCCTCATCTGCGGGCAGCAGCATGGTCGGCGATTAAACAACCACAGCAAGGTCGCATGCGGTGGATGGGGGTGCAGGGTCACGGCAGCAGCACCGCTACCCGAGCGGCCCGGGCAGCGCCCTGCCCTACCTGACTCGGAGCTCGAGGGACCTGCCCCTCCCTCGCTCTCGCCGTCATCCTCAACCCCCACCACCTGCCGGCGCTTCTGGCTGTCTCCCACAGGCTTGAAGATGCCCTGAGGCCCCATCACCGCCTCCTGGGCCATGCGCTCCAGCCCATAGTCTGCAAACAGCAGAAGGAGACCACAGGCAAGGCTCTGGTCCAGCCAGGTCGACTGCTGCTACACGGCTTGTCGACAGAGGCACGCGGGAAACCATAGGTAGAAGCATAGCCCTGGCCATGTCTCGCTGGATTGCTTCCCTGTCGTGGTATCCAGTGAGTGTCACAAAGCCCTGTGCAGCTTGCTGACCCCACTGCGGGCCATGTTGCCACCATGCAGCGCACCTGATGGATGCACCACCACTCGCCGGATGGCGCCGCCCTGCGGCACAAACGAGCGCAGCACTGCCAGGATGTCCACCGCCCGAACGTGCTCCCAGTCTAGATCCACGGCCGCCAGGCGTGGGGTGGCATCTGGCTGCATCAGGATCTGCATGCACGAGGATCCAGTGATCAACCAAGGGTGGATCGTGATGGGCAGGCAGGGTGTGCATGTGTGCGCTTGGGGGGTTGGGGGGGCAGAGACAAAGCCCACACGCACGTGCATGCAAGGCCCGGCCAGCAGCACAAGTGCAGGCCACCAGTGCCCAGACACTGTGGCTTGCCTCCCTGCACCGCACGTTTGCTCTGGGCCAGCCGCCCAACGACTCACCGGCTCCTCAGGGTTGGCAGCCAGCGCTCCCACGCCCCACTCCTCCAGATCCGCCTCATTTAGCGGCTCCTCCCCTTCATCAACATCCATCCCAGCAGGCAGCTGCTGGCGCCCTTGGAAGCCGTCTGCCTGCTCGCCATCCTCCTCTTCATCGCTGAATTCGCTGCTGCTCTCCGCCAACTCCTCCTCCTCATCGCTGCTGGCCTCCGGGCCCGCCAGACCCCTACACCGCACGGCCCCATGGCTCAAGAGTGCCATGGGCTTCATGGCAAGCGGGACCTACACAACCACCCAGACAAGACAAGAACCACGATCCGCCAAAGCAGTACTCGCTCAAACAGGCTCGGCCCCAGCGAGCCGGCTTGCAGTGTAGGGTCATTTGTGGTCAACTTTGTGCGCTGCTGCAACCCACCCACCCACCCACCTCATGCGCGCCCACCGCTCCTGGGCTGCCTGCTCCTCATCGGCCAACTCCGCATCGCTCGCAGGCTCTGACTCGGAGCCGCTGCTCCTGCCCGCTGCCTCTGCCCCCGCTGTCTGCAATGCAGCCTTTTGCGCCTCACCGTCCTCCATCTCCTCCTCGCTGCTACTGGCTTCAGCGTCATTGCCTGGAGCAACCTGCCTTCGAAGCTTGGCCTGACTGCCAGCAGCTTGCTTGCCCTGCTGCTTCCGCTCCTGCTGCTTCTGCGACTGCCGGCCTGAGTGCTGCTGCCTCTGGTCTGCCACAGCGGCTGCCACCTGCTCATCACCACCCTCGCCGCCGGCTGCCCGCTCTTTGTCGCGCGCCCGCCGCTGCTGCTCCTCACCCTGCAGCCGGTAGTACCTCCTCATGTCCTCATTCTTCTTGCTGCCCTTCACCTTGCGGCCGCGCTTGTCCACGGTACTGCGCACCTGGAAGGCGTCGTCCTTGAACATGCCTGTGGGCAGAAGTGTTGGGGTGTGATGTGATTGCCTTGCATGCACGCAGCTGCATTTTCAACGGGGTAGTGGCAGGCGCGGTGGCGCCTGCCAGCAGCGGCGGCAACCACTCGCCAGCGAAGCGGTCGTCGATTTCCACTTTTGCCTTGGCTTTGGGGAACCTCTGGAACCGCGGGTCATGATGCACGGCCGCAAAGCGGCTGTCTGTGACCACTTTGCTACCCGGCCCAGCTTTGGGCTTGCCCTCCTTGCCCATGCTGGCCTCTGGATGTGACAGTCAGGTAGCGTGTGGCTGCTGGAAGGTAGGGTGTGGCTTAAAAAAGTCGCGGCTCTGACAGAAATGGGGCGCCGCCAGCAAGGGGTGTGAATTGAGCCCGCGGAGCTGGAAGGATGCTGGTCAGCAATATATGGTATGCATGCATTGCCAGACGCTGAGAACAGGAAAAGCAGTACAGTACAGAACTGTACAGCTCTGTCTGCCATACGATCTCTGTGTGTGTGTGTGTGTGTGTGTGTGTGTGTGTGTGTGTGTGTGTGTGTCGTGTGTGTGGGTGCTTATCTCTCTCACACTGCTCAGCCTATCTTGTAGCACACGATCACAGTGCAAGTCCTCGGTAAGCTGCTGCTGGCAATGTTGTGAACTCACAACTGTCTCCCCCCCCCACACCCAGCGGTGCAGCAATCGATGGATATGATGCATCGGGCAATCAGCTGCTAACGCGGTGCTCCCATGTCGCCGCCACCGCCTGTTGCCGCTGCCGCTGCCGCCTGCTGCTGCTGCCGCCTGCAGTGTTTGGTCAGTGGCACAGCCAGGAGATGGCCGATGAACTTGCCTATATGCGAGCCCCCGACCTGTTCTTTAGGCCACCCTGTCTAGCCGATTTGGACCGCATCGAAGCCATTGAGGTGACCTTTTTTTGCTTGTCTTTTTGCATGCTTTCGTCCACCTTCAAATTGCCGGTTCTTCATTCCACTCTGTCCGGGCAGTCGGCTGGGTACCCTCCGGATGAGGCTGCCAGCAGAGAGCGGCTGCTGTACAGGCTCGAGAATGGTGAGCAGCATTCAGTTGGCCTGAGGGTCGTGGCTGGCCGGCTTGCACCTACGCGCTTTTCCGACTCCCTGCCCGGGTTGTTTGGATGCATTGCAGCGGCAGATCAATTCCTGGTGGCAGTGAAGGACGACCAAATTGTTGGATTCATATGCGGCACCCTGACGAAGGCCGACCGATTGACGGAAGACAGCATGGGCCAGCACGAGCCGGATGGAGGTGCGTCGCTGCACAAAGGTCAAGAGTGTTGTGTCCCAACGGTCAGGCCTAACCAGTTGAACGTGTGTTGCAGGGTTGCTGGCCATCCACAGCGTCGCGGTGGATGCGGCACACAGGCGGCAGCGAGTGGCGACGCGCCTACTGCAGGCGTACAAGGCTTATGTTTGCTCGTCCACACCCTGCCTGACTACTTTGCGGCTGATATGCAAGGAGCCATTACTGAGCTTATACAAGAACTGCGGATTTCAGATGGTAGGGCCTTCGGCTGTGGTGCACGGCAAGGACCCTTGGTTCGAGATGAGGTTGGATTTGGACGCTGCTTGCCAACCCCGCGCTGCGCAATGAAGTGCCCGGCTGACTGGCAATCAGCTGAGCATCAGCTTGTTGCTTTGATGTGCGATGTGTGGAAAGAACCAGGGGCATCTGGATACTTTGGGACATTACATCGACGTAAATGAGACCTCAAGAGGACTGCAGCTGGCTGAGCCTGCCAGCCGGCAGCGGTGGCGGTCATGCATGCTCACATGGGCGGCGGCATGGGCGGCGCGCCACAGCGACGCGCCACGTGGGGGCGGGACGGCGGGTTGTTCAACGGCTCGTGCGCTTGTCAATGCTCCAAATTCACGCTCTTGAGTAGATTGTGAAGGAAGGCTGTGCCACATGCCCAGCACCAAGTTGATGATTTCGCGGCGATGCGCTGGTCCATGCTGCTTGCAGCTACAATCCAAGTCGCACTTGCGACCCAAACCGCAGCGAAATCGGCACGCCGGCGAGCGAATGGGTCTGCTGGGGTGCCGGGCAGGCGCCAAACCGCTGCCGCCACCACACCAACCAGCTCCGCCACAAGCGCGGGCAGAAGAGGAGGAGAGTGAAGAGTGGCTGCAGCTGCCGCATACGCAGCACATCATGATACATACAGAATTTGAACTTGACCTGGTCCGCAAGCTGCGTTCCGCCTACGACGGGCGGTGAGCTGCTTGCTCGTACCCTCTTGCAATGCCATGCATTGTGCGACATGCTGTCACCATGTTGGCTTGCAGGTTGGGCAGCCCTCTGCAATCGAGCAGCCAGCGCTTTGTTTTTGACTGGTGGCATGTTAAAGACCAGTACACGCTCCTTCGCACTCCAGCAGATCGTTTCTTTCCTCCGGCCGACTATGCGGCTCTCATGGATGCCCTCTTGGATCACGGCGAGCGAGCGCTGGGATGCAGAGGGATCTCGCCGCTGTGGCTCAGGCATGTGGGCTGGCTGCAGTGTGGACCTGTGCCTAGTTGGTCTGGTCCTCTCCCCAACCCGAAGGCGACTGCTTTTGTTGGTCCCGGCTTGGTTTGCCTGCAGCGTGTATGTCGATGGCTGTAGGCAAGAGTGGCATTCAGACGCGCCCCACGGGTGCGTCTTCTGCTGAATGTATGATCAAAAGCAACAGAGCAGCTACCCAGCGTTTCGGCTTGCAACCGCCCCCGCTGCAGCCCCTTTGCTTTTGTGCTATCCCTGACAAGATGGGAGGAGCGACGTTTCACCGGCGGGGAGACCATGCTGCTGCAGCCCGACACGCTGGACTACTGGCGCAATTTTGACCCGCATCTGGGAACAGAAACACCGCAGCTGGTGTGTACAGGGGCTGCGAAAACAAAGGTGCAAGCAAAGGGGCTACAAACCATGCTGCACTGATGCAGATACATACTATTCCGCCGCTCTTCAGCCAGCTTGCTGTTTTTGATGGCCGCATTCCGCATGGAGTTCGCCAGGTAACTGTGCTGCCCCTTTGTTTGGAGCCTCTGGCAGCCCCGTGGGTTGCTATTGAGTGGCACTGCTCGTGGAAACCGTGTCCTGCCGTTGCACGCAGGTCGAGGGCACGCGGGACCCACTGGAGGCACGGGTTGTGCTGCATGGCTGGTTCACTCAGCCAGATCCATTCTTTGCCGGTGCGTGGTTGATTGCATGGCGTGGACCCACAAAATTATCACAAAGCTGTCCCTAGGGCCTGCTAAAGCATCAACCATCACTTGGGCATTGCCTGGCAACACCACCCACCCTTTCTTTTCTTGACCCCGCGTGCTATTGCAGGTTCGCTGAGGGAGGAGGAGGCAACCCCAGCGCTGAATGCGTGCCTGGATGTCCTGTTCGAGGCGCTCAGCACACTCCCGCCCTCAGTTGGCACTGTGACGCTGCAGCTGACGGTGGAGGGCAGTGGCAGGGTGGCAGACATTTGCTGGAAGGCCAACACGCTTGTGGCGCGGCCTCAGAGCGGGGAGGCGCCGACTGTGGTGACCGAAGCCACGCTGGCTTGCATAGCCGAGCACCTGCTTCGTGCCCAGTTCCCACCTAGCCATGACGGGGGCTGCACAGCAATCACTCTGCCCTTTGTATTCCAATGATGGTTGAATCCTGTTTTACAACCTTTGGGTCTCATCGTGCGTGCAACAGATCTCAGGGACTTTAAAGATGGAAGAGAGTCACCAAATAATTGGCAAATAATTTGAGGAGTAACGCGCATATGGGCCAGCGAGCCGGCAAATGTGGCGAGAATTGAAAGGTTATTGGCATGGAAGTGCAAAAAGGGGATGAGGGGCCTTGGGGCAGGGACCACAGCGGTTGAACAGCGTGATCAGGATCTCTCAACAGGACAGGTGGGGAAATGGATAGGCGAATCTGGCGACCTAGGGAAAGACTTCATCTGACGAGATGCGCTGGGAAAACGGCACGGAGAGGCAGTGATGGCATCGAGTACGGCCAGAAAGGTCAATGAAAGGAAAGGTGTGTTCAGTGCGAATAGCATTGGCCGTGCTTGGTGGGTGGATGGTGGGTGGTGAATGTGCAGCTGGCAAGCCGGGGATGATTCAGCGCAATAAGCAGGAAACAGGAGCCAGTTTGGCAACTATGTGAGTGGGGATGCGAGTAGGCATGCCGGGTGTAGAGGTGCACAATTGCATGGGGCAACATGACAGATGTTGGCACACGGGGATTTGAAAGGAGGCAGAAAGAGCAGAAAGGAAGAGCAAAACTGCGTCAATGAGCACACATGAAGCACCAAGAGCGGGAGGGGCCAACGGGATGGCGGCCGCCCGCACAAGCAGGCCCCCAGCACCGGGCTACAAGCCATTTCGGCGTAGCGGCAGCTTGAGCGCTTGCGTGCAGCTGCAGGGGATGCCGGAGCCGGTGCAAGTAAGTGTGGCCAGCCAAAACTGGCATGCCGAGCCTGGGGTCTTGGTGGCGCACGTGGCATGGCCCCTTTCACAGCGCTGCGGCTTGGCGGTGATGACCGCTCCCGTGACGGAGTTGCGGCGGATGGGTGCCAGCACGCCTGAGCCATTAATGCTTGCAGCTGGCGCGTTGGTGCACCCGCACTTGACCAGGCTATTGGCGCAGGTGCGGACCTTCAGCCAGTACTGGCACATGCCCGTCGTCGTGTTCTTCATGTAATAATTGACGCTTGGCTTGATCTGCGGGCGCAACAGATGCAGTGGAGCAAGGGGCATGGCGCGTTGGGAGCTGTTTGTACGCCAAGTAAAGGACGATACCGCTCATGCCTCGAGTCTGCACAACATGAAGAGCCCTGAAAACAAATGCAGGCTTCTAGGACACTCACCGTCTTGGCAAACCGTGCCACTGATGTGCAGAAGCTGTGGCCAACTTTGCAGTTGGCAGCTGCGTTGGCAGGCATCACGGTCGCCGAGTTGGGCTTGGGGGGCGGCGGCGGGGTGATCCTGCGAGCGCTGAGGAGGGCAGGGCCGGAATGGATCAGGTGCCCATGGTGGCTCAGCAAGGTTTGATGACCTGCAACAAGCCCTCCCCAATCATCCACCCACCCAGCTACCCACAGCAGCTGGCTCACTTGATCTGCCCCACGGCGGGCAGGAAGGGGGTGCAGTCGGGGTCGGCCGCGCCCGACAGCCCATCGCAATCACCGTCGTAGCCGGCGTCACACGTTGCCAGCGTCTCCTGCCCACTGGCGCTCTTGCGGCACACCCACAGACTGGCAGTGCCGGTGGCTGCGTTGGTGCTCCAGACCTTGAGCACTAGGCCGCTGGTGCTGTGGGTCATGCTCTCTCCGGGGCCCATCTGGCCCAGCAGGTAGGAGAAGTCTGGGGAGTGGTTGCTGGTGCCGGCATACGAGTGCACCCCCACCTTGCCAGCAAACGCCGTGTCCAGCCCGCCATCGGGGCCCTCAGCCAGACGATAGCCCAGGAAGAGCGACGCCTGGCCCTGCACCCAGGTGATGTCGATCTTGAGGCCGCTGTTCGAGGTGCGTGTCAGCGCTTTGGTGCTGATGTTGCGCGTCTGCCCGGGCGCCAGGGTGGTGCCGTTCAGCAGCTGCGGCGCCACCCAGCCTAGCTGCCACGCGTGTGCCATGTTAAAGCAGCGGTTGGAACAGCAATAGCCTGCAGCAGGCGGCGTCGGCAGCAGTGGTGAGCGGCTGCGGGCAGCCAAAAGATCAGGGCAACCAGGAGAACAGGCCATCACGTGCGTTGGGCATCATGGTTCATTTCTGAACCGCCAGGCTGGCCACTCACCCATTGCACAGCTGGTGTCACCATACTCGTCGACATTACCGTTGGGAGCCACCCATGCAGAGTGCCCAAGGAACTGCAGGCAGGGAGGCAGGCAGGAAGGAGGCCAGGTCAGTGCCAGCCGCCCCACACTCCAGCAGCCCATGCACCTCCCAGTAGTAGCAATACGCGGGTTGTGCACCTCCCCACACATCACTGGCACATGCTCAGACTTGCCAGGTTGTGACCAATTTCGTGGAACATTGCTTGCTGTGAGCCCAGCGAACCACGGGTGGGCCCCATAAAGACGTCTCCTTGCGTCCATGTGGTGCAAGGAAAAGAGAAGTCGCAGCCGACGTAGCCCAGGCCCACAAAGCCACAGGCAGTGCCTGGTGGGATGACCACGGCCCTGAAGGAAGGCGAGCGGGAGGCCAGGGCTGAGCGGCGAGATGCACAGCAAGAGGCGCACAGAGTGCAGAGCAGCAGCGACAGGTGGAAGCCCCAAGCCCGCCTGCTCACTTGTAGAGGTAGTCATCTGGATTGATGCCATACAGCTGCTGCGCCTTCTCCATGGCGAGCTCCGACCATCCGCTAAAGTCCTCAAACTCACAAGACTGCAGTTGGTAGAAAGGGCATGCAACATCCCTGCTTTGCCAGCTGCCTCTACACTGGGCCGCCTGCCGGCTGCTTCCCAGCGAACAGGCGAATCGAACAAGCCTGCTTGCCTCGGCGCCTACCTTGCTGTTATAGGGTGTGCCCCACGCGCTGGTGCCGGCACAGTCCAACTTGATGACGGGTGCCACCACCGAGTTCTGGCGCGTCAGCAGCGTCTGCCCGTAGCTGCAGGTGCGGAAGAGCGCACCCACAGAAGAGGTGGCGGCGCCGTCATTGCCTCCGTCCTCGAAAATCTTCTTTTCCACGTCCTCCTTAAAATACCAGGGTGCCGGGTAGGTGCCGGCGGGATTGGGGCAGCCCTCCAGGGAGATGGGCAGCACCAGGGTGGACACCGCGGTGGCCTCAAGGGACAGCCTGATGGTGGGCAGTCCAGGTGCTGCCTGCTGTAGGCGGCGGCCTGCGCTGCTGCTCCTGGCCCCTTGCACTGTCACAGAGCGATCTTTGTAGGTTCGTGGCGGTTGGCGGCGCTGCTCATGTTGGGCTTCAGGTAAATCTCCTTGCTTGGATTCACACCCTGCAGCAGGAGGAGAGGGTTCCTGGCACTTGGTTGCATGTTGCATTAAACCTTCAAAAAGCAAGGCAGGGCAGTTTCACGAAAAGTCGTCCTGTTGTGGCGGGGCCATGGCGGCCATGTCCGGAGGCCGGCCGGAGGCCCGCAAAAGCCCACTCACTTTAGTGAAATGATCCCTGGAAACCACGTACACGCGCCCCGACAGTGGCGTTGGGCGAGCGCCCAGCAGCTGAGCATGGGTCACTTGCAGGGCCCCCAGAACCAAGCTCAACAGAGCCAGTGCCGTCGTCAGCCGCATCTTATGACGCTGCTAGAGTGCTTTGGCAGGGACGAAGCCTCAGAAGTGGGCTGCCATGCTCAGGTGAAAGGACGAAGGTGCGCTGGGGCCGGGGGAGGCGTGTTTCAGGCAGCAGATGCAATGATGGGTGCACGGTGTAACAGTTTGGACACAATGTTTTATGGCTACATAAAAGAGGAAAAAACTTATGCCTGTTTGCGGACAGTCAGATGTGTGCAGCGCCACTCCATGCATCAATTGCAGCAGCCACCTCAAATCGCTGATTCGGAACAAGGCGAGCTAAAAGTATTGACGGGAAGAAGAGCCAGCCAGCATGCTAATAACACCCTGCGCCACTGCACAGCAGGCCGCTGCGGCGTTGTGCCGGTTGAAAACTACTGCGGCAGGCAATTGGCTGTGGATATGTGTGTGGGGGTGTCCGCTCCGTCGCACCCGAGTTGTTCCCCAGTCGCCCGTGCCATTCCAGTGGGTGAAACAGGGTGCCACCTCCAGCACGCGGCGTGCACGCCGGCCCGCCAGCGGCGCCGTACCACTTGGAGCGCTGTGCTATCCTGCCACCTCGTTCTATTTTAGCAGCTATTTCCTCGTTCTAGCAGCTATTTCCTCGTTCTATTTTAGCAGCTATCCTGCCACCTCGTTCTATTTTAGCAGCCATACAAGCAGCGCCAGCTGATGAGGACATCACCATCTTGACGGACATCCTCACCCTCATCCACATGCTACGGACTACCCTGCACACACCCACCCGTCACAGAGTGCACAAGCACAAACACATGCTCCGCAGGATCGTCAATGCCATGCTCAGCAGGGCGGGCACCACCTCTTTGTACAAAGTTAGGGCACACGTTGGTGTGGCTGGCAATGAACTTGCAGACACAGCGGCCCGCATTGCTGCGGAGGCACAGGGTGCGGACGACACGGAGGATGCTGCGGTTGAGCTCCAGGGAGCCCTGCCGGGCGGCCATACGAGTCTAACACAACATGCGGTTCATTCATTCATTCATTGGTTCATTCATTCATTCAGCACACAGACCGGCCGCCTCTTGCTCGAGGGCGGCCCACTTTGGCCTGGGCAGCCCGGGCCGCCCTCCCCCCCGGGCGCATGTTCGGTGTTGGAGGGGTGCGCCCAGCGATAGGGGGCCCCTGAAGGCATGCGCCGAGGCCGGGAAGCGTGGTTCGGCGCTGCTGCACGCTTGGCGACTTGAACAGAACCGCGTGCCGCCGAGCTGCGGCCGCAGTTTCCGGCCCACAGTCTACGGCCGCAGCCACGGGACTCGGCGGCACGGCGTTTGGGCCCAAGCTTGCTGCCGCCGCCGCCGTGCCCGGGGGGCAGCGCGGCGGCGGCGGCGGCACGCTGCGACGCCCCCGAGCCACCGAGCTGCGGCCGTAGCTTCCTGCCAGAAGCCCACGGCCACAGCCACGGGACTCGGCGGCACGGCGTTTCGGTCCACGGCTTGCTGCCGCCGCCGTCGCAGGGGTGCTGCCTGCGGCGGCGGCGGCACGGCGTTTGGGTCCACGGCTTGCTGCCGCTGCCGCCGCCGCAGGGGTGCTGCCTGCGGCGGCGGCGGTAGCGCACGTGGCAACCCCCCGCGCTTCCTTGCCTCCCATCCACCGGACCCCGTCCTGCGCTTCACTTTGTTTCGGGAGGGGCTGCTCACTGCTCATTGCTCATTGCTCATCGCACACTGCTCAACGCTCATTGCCCTATATCCCACCCAGCCGCAGGACTCTACTGCCGCCCGCGCCCCGCCCCATCTGGCCGCTTGCGCGCCCCATCCCCCCTCGATGGGGCCCGCCCACACCGGGGCCTCCCCCCTCCCGCCCACTGCTTTCTCAACGGCCCCGAGCCGGGGCTGCCCTCATTGCATACATAGTGCGCCTTTCCCTGCTTTTCTAGTGACCTAGCGTTCCGCACTGCCGTTTGGCCAGCCCATGCTCCCGTACCGTTGCGTTTCTCCCCAATGCGCCATGCCACTTTGCCAGTCATACACACGTTTCGATGCGTGCCCTGTCAGCTGCTTGCGTTGCATGTCGCCTTGCTCCACCCCTGTTTTATTGCTTTCTCTGCTTTCGCCCGGTTCCCGTCCCGTTTCGGCGGGGAGTCTATGTTGCAAGCTAGTTCTTGCTTTACCAGACTTTAAGCCCACACACACATGCTGATGCGGCGGCTTCCCGCCCCGGCATTGCTGCCTCCTGGCTGCGTTACCCCGTGTCCAAACCTGGCGGTGATGAGGGTGCCGCTCCCGACCTGTGGAACTTTGATGAGCTCAAACATCAGGTTGCCAGGTGGATACAACCGATCCTGTCCGCAGCCTTGTTGACCCGCCACACGGCCCGTAGTGCGGCATGCAAGCGACTGCACGACCAGCGCACCGACCTGGCTCAGCTGCCCGGCTCATCATTCGATACGCCCGCGTTGGCTGGCAGGGATCCGCAGGCATGGTCGGCACCGGGGCCTTACACACTTGACTCTTCCCCTGCGCCGCTGGTCGGCATCACCTCCACGCTCCCCTGGCACCACGTCAGCTTGGCAATGCAATTGCGGTGGGGCCAGCTCTTCACCCGGGCGCGCGCCCACCGCCTGTACCCAACCAAACATCCCGACCCCACATGTGGCCTGTGCCAGGATAGGCCGCCGGAGACGATCCCGCACTGCTTTGGGGCCTGCGCCCACCCAGTCATTCACGGCCTCAGGTGCAAGCGCCATGGCGCTTTAGTCAAGTGCCTGGTTGACACCATTGCTGCTGGTGGCCTGGGCGACCGCTTGTTGTATCACGACAGTGAGTTGGGCGACCGCACCGCTCGCAACCTGCCAGGCTTTCTCCCCCGACACCAGGGCCATACCACCCCGGACATTATATTCCTCCCTGCTATGGAGCCCAACCGCGCCCACACCATCTCACTCAGCCAGCTCACCCCTGAGGAGCGTGTGCTCGTCTGCGTGGAGGTCACGCATGCCGCCGACACCCGCCTTTCGGCGGCAGTTGCTGACAAGCTGGAGCAACACAGCTCTTGGATGCATTACCTGGTTCAACAGGGATGGCAGGTCACCTGCTTCCCTGTCGCCGTGTCCCACTCGGGCCTGGTCACTTCCACAGCGCGCGCTGCTCTCGAGCGGTGCGGCGTTGAGCCCCGCCAGGCGGCAACAGCGGTTCGCCGCCTTGTGCGCAGTGCCCTCGCTTGCAACGTGCAGATCCGCACATCGCGACGATCGCTGTATGCACAGACGCAGCCGACAGCTCAGAACCCTCCAGATCCAGCCTGACAGCCTCCTGTGGGGAGGGAGTGGCGGCAGGCTTCCTCTGGAAAGTCGCTGCCACCGTTTCTCCCCCTGAGTCACCCGTGTTTGGTCACATCTTCTTCTTCTTCTCTCCTACACAGCTTCTTCTGTCGTTGCTGAGCCTCGCAGTAGAGGCAGGCGCCGGTTTATTGGTCTCCCGTGGAAATGAGGCGCTCGGCACTTTGCCTGGGGCTGCTGCTGCTGGTGGCGATTGGTGGATCACAAGCAGCTGGTGATGCCGAGGTGAGCCATCGGGGCGCAGCCTGCACGCCATCCCTGCGGTCCCCTTCGACCTGCCAGCTCCAAACAGCCGTGCTTGGCTGCGCTGTGTCCCCTGGGCCTGCAGGTGCAGCGGTTGCTGGCGTTGCAGCGCAGCCACGGCGGGGTGATCGAGCTGGACCCCAAGACCTTTCAGGAGCTGCTGGTTGGCAAGTCGAGGCCCTACTCTGTCATCATCGTGGCGGGTGGGTGCGCGCTGTGCAGGAGGAAGGTGGGGGAGGGGCTCAGCGGCGGCCAGAAGGCCCCGCCTCGCCGCTAAGCCGTCCCACTGCTTGCGGGCCCACTCGTGCCGCTACTGCCGCAGATGCCAAGGACCTGCGCAGCCAGGGCAAGCTGAAGCTGGGCCAGCTGGTGTCTGAGTTCCGGCTGGTAGCCAAGTCGTTTGCCGCCACCCATGCCGGCAAGGGCTCCGTCGGCAGCGTCATCTTTGCGCGCTTGGAGTTTTCCAAAGCCAAGGACTTGTTTGGCAGGTGGGCAGGGCTGTGCCCACACCCGCCCAATTGCGTGCTAGCAGCTGCTACCATGAACGCGCCCTTGAGCTACCCTCTGACCGAGCCCGGGCTGCGCCGGTGTTTGCCGCAGGATGGGCATTCAGGCGCTGCCGTACCTGGCGCGCATCCCGCCCAGCCTGGCCATATCAGAGGGCGGCGCCGTTACCCTGGGCAAGGAAGAGGTGATGCCCACGACAGGCTACCCCTGGTCGGCAGAGGCGATCGCGGAGTGGGTGTTGGAGCGCAGCGGCGTGGCAGTGGGCGAGATCAAGCGCCCAACCCTCATCAGCACCAGGCGGGTCTATGGGCCGGAGGATGGTGCCCGCTCCCACCCGCGCCACGACAGCCTGGCTGTGTGCTGTGTAGGCAGCACAGCACAGCATTGCACTGCCAGGCCAGAGATCCTAGCTGCCTAGCAGCTGCATGCCCTCGGGCGAACCCTGCGTCATGCTGTGAACCCGTGCAGGCTGATGCCGCTGCTGTCGTTGGCTGTGCTCGCGTGCGTGGCGTTTGTGGGTTACCACCTGTATTACGCCTCCTTCATGCGCCACCAGTGGCTCTACGCCCTGGGTGCCATCGCCGTCTACTGGTTCTCCGTGTCAGGTACGTGAGCCTGGAGCGATGGGGGTGGGTTGTGTGACTGGTCAGCATTGGGGCTGTACAGCTCTGCGCTCTGCAGTTCTGCTCGCCCTGCTGGAGGCTGGTGAGCAGGAACATGCAGCCATGCCGACAACCCCTCAACCCGCACCGCTCTGTTTCCGGCGCCCCATCATCTGCAGGTGGCATGTTCAACATCATTCGTGGCGTGCCGCTGGTGGGCTTTGACCACCGCAAGCGGCAGAGCATGCTGTTCATGCCCGGCCAGGGTGGGTGGCTGCCAGCTGGAATCATCTGTTGTCTGGGTTTGGGCTGCAGCTTTTGTCTGGCACATTTTGCTTCGTGATGCATGAGCACCTTTTGCGGCTCCTGCTTTGGTGGTTCACGCCCATGCCTGCCCGCTGACGCAGCGGTTCACTTGACTCCTGCTGCTCGTCAACCCCCTTCCCTCATCTTCAGGCCAGCTGGGCGCCGAAGGTTTCATCATGGGCTCCCTGTACACCACCGTGGGCCTTGCCGTGGCTGCCCTCATCATCCTTGCGCCAAAGGTGTCCTGCCTGGGCTGGTTCTGGTTTGTATTCGCTTCCAATAGCGCCTAGCTCAGATCTAGCTAGTGCTACGCCACTACCCTGCTCGCAGGTGAAGGACCCCAACACACAGCGCGTGGCGGCGTACGGCATCATCCTGGTGGCATTCATGGCCTTCAGGTGAGGCGGGGTGTGGGAGGGGTTGGGCCTGCGCCCTGTCAGCAGCCCCAGCTCGCACTACCACGCGCTGCTGCTGACGCCTCGCATGTGTGGTGGCTGTGTGTAGACTGGTGACCTCCAACCACCTGTGGAAGACAGGTATGAACACGGATTGGTACCTGTTTTAGCATGCAACAATGCGCCGGTGCAGAGCGAGGCAGGCAGGCAGGCAGCTGGCCTTGCGCCGTAGCCTTCAGTACCCGAACCGCAAAGACAGTTCACAAAGACAATCAACAAGGAAGTTGTTTTATCATGTAACGCTCCCTGTTCTTCTTATCTAAATGATCAAGCCATTCAATGTGATTGGGTGTGTGAGCAGGCGGGCTGGCGTGCTCAAAATGTCTACGGCGGGTCAAAGCAGGCCCAGCACTGATGTGGGCATCTCTCCCAAAGTCAGCCTTAGGCGTCATTCTTGTTCTTCTTCTACTCCCATCCCACTGCTGTGCCTCTCTCCAGCACGCGCAACCTGGAGCCCCGCACGGCATCTGCTTTGCTGCTCCCTTGCGCTCCATTCTCGTCAGTGAGCTCACATGTCTCGCTTGCAGCGAGCTGCATCCCAGCTGCTGGCCACTCATCAGCTGCTGCAGTGGCGGGGTGCTAAGGCGGTGCCTACCAAGCTCTCAGTGGAGCTGCTGAAGGTGTGAACATGCTGAAGTACATGCGCCACTGGCGAGCCGGCACCCGCTGGCACTGCCGCCGCCATCCTTGCCTGGCTCCTGTCGCCGCCCACCCTGCGGTGTTCGTTGTTGGCCTTTGCAGGACGTGGAAGGCGTGGGGTCTGCGGGGCAGCTGGCGCGGGTCAACCATGGCTATGCCCGCAACTTCCTGGTGCCCAACCGGCTTGCGATGCCAGCAGCGGCGGGCCCGCACCGCAGCAGGCGACCTCCTGCTGCGGAGGCAGGCAGCAGCGCGAGCGCAGCGCAGCAGGCGGCAGCGGCAGCAGAACGCAACAGCCCAGCGCAGCTGACTGTCGAGAAGCATCAGCAGCAGTTTGACAAGCTGATGAAGACGCTGACGGGCAGCACGCTGGTGCGCGGGGGCACCTGCCCTAGTTGCTGGGCTACTCACTGAGCCTTGCCAGGAGGGCTGCGCCCATGCACCCCTGCCCGTAGACCCGGCTTGGTGTGGAGAGGCAAGCTGCCGAAGTCCTCATCGCATGGAAAACGCTCCCCAACCACCCTCACCACTCCCTCTGCATCGCAGATACTGAAGCGGCGCACAAAGGATGGGCAAACGCTAGAGCAGGCACTGCAGGCGCAAGACATTGCAGGTGAGAGCAGAGCCAGCGGAGCTGCTGCATGGCGCCTGCTCGGCTGCAGATATGCGCCCAGCCCTCGCGGGCCGGTGGGCATCAGCAGGAACGGCATATAGGCCGATTAATTCTGACCTCCCGTTTCTCTCCGCACCCGCAGATGCGGTGGCAAGGCAGTTTCGCATAAGGGTGGTTGGTGATATGGTTGATTTGGGAGGAGAAGATTTGAGCGTGGTGGGCGAATACCACCTGCCACTCAAGCTGGAGCTCCCCAGTGGCGAGCGTGCCATGCTTGACGTCAGCGTCGCCTCAACCTGAATTTGTCAGCCCAGTCGGACTGGACTTGCTTTGCCACACCTTGTACGGCGAAGCTTCATGGTAGCAAGCATGATGGCAGAGGTATTGCAACTGTCATGGGCATCATGAGACTGTCAGAGGAGGTTAGGCATGGGGGCAGGGTGGGGACGGGGACACACGCATCGCCAGCGGGGCAACACCCCATGCAGTTGGCCGACATGGGGGAGGGGGTCTGCATTTTCTTGCGCTCTGGCAGGATCCTGGCCGCTGACACAAGCCTTCCAGGGTTTGAGAACTCTATCTGCCACACTTGGGGCCCCGCAGATGCTCAGCGCTTGAACTCTGAACGATGGCTACAGATGACGACGCCGAAATAGCTCGGCTGCTGGTGAGGTCACAACTGCTCAGGCAGAAAGCTTGTATGATCGCGGACACCGATCACTTGGGCTGGTTTGCGCCACCTCCCCTGGTTTTGGCTGGGTCAGCTTGTGACACGCGCGTGTGTACGGCCGGCGGGAGCACGCGCCCCGGGCCCCGACACTGCCCCTCCGCCGCCACGCCGCCCGCCTCCTCCTGCGTACTCCCACGCCTCCTCAGGCCGTTGAAAACCCGGAGCAGTATTACGAATATGATTTTGGAAACGAGGAAGATGACCCTGACGACGGGGATGATCCTGACTATGGGGCGGGCAAGAAGGGCGGCAGGAAGGGTGGGCACTACGTTCTGCCAGCTCAGATGCGGTGCTGTTTGGTGGCGCAATTGAAGGCTCGGATTCGCTGCAGCCGCCTGCGCCTTTGGTTACCCGCTGCTGCCGGCCCTGTGCCTGCAGGAAAGAAGAAGAAGGCCGCCGAGGCAGGTGGATTGGCCTCTGCAGCGACGGGCTTTGACCCCGCGACCACCGCGGCGGCAGCTGCATATGCCTTGCCTGCAGTCACAGCAACGGGACCTGCCGCTGCCGGTGCCGCGCCCGCCACGGCGGAAGCGCAGCATGGCATGATGGTGAACGGCGTGACTGCAATGCCGGGGGCGGCACTGCCCGGCGTGATGCCGGGGGCGTCGATGCAGATCATGCTGCAGCAGCAGGCGTTGGCAGCAGCACTGGCTGCAGGCGGCGGGGCGGGCATGACGGGCCTGCAGATTGCACTGCCCCCGGGGGTCAGCCTGGAGCAGGCGTCGATGATGGGCCTGCCTATCATGGCCCTACCAGTGCAACTGCCGCAAGCCGGCGGCGGCATCGCAGACGCGCCTGGCTCGACAGCCACCGCCGCCACGCTGCCCATGGCGCCAGGGTCCACCGCCGCGGTACTTCCGAGGGTGGGAGGAGTGGGCGGCATGCCAGCAGCAGCTGCGGCGGTGGCCAAGCCTGCAGCAGGGGCAGGTGCTGGCGGGGGCAAGTCGTCTGACGGCGACGAGTTCACTGCCACGGGGCGGCGCAAGCGCAAGGACACAGGTGAGCATTGGGGCTGTGGGCTCAAGGAGGGATGGGTTTTCTTGCAGTCGCACAAGATGCAAGGTGGTGGCCATCTATCAGTCCCAGAAAGGGGATGCATGCTTACGCCCTGCAGCACTGGGGTTCAGTTTGATGGCAAGCACGCTGTCCTTGTTGCAGGCAAGCAGCGGCAGCAGTCGCGCAGCTGGACGGACGAGGAGGAGCGGTTGTTCCTGGAGGCGCTGCAGCTGTATGGCAGGTGAGCGGGGACAAATGGGGGCCGCTGGCGGCCGCACATGGAGTGTGGGGCAGCAGGACGTCAGGTTGATGGGTGGAGTTGTGCCTGCAAGCGGCGAGCAGCTGAAGAGGCAGTATGCGGCCCCTCGCGGCGCTCCTCTCCTCCACCGCAGGGACTGGAAGCGCTGTGCGGAGCATGTGGGCACCCGCGACCACCGCGCCTTCACCAGCCATGCACAGGTGGGCTGCGGTGTGCATCCTAGTGCCTTGTCTAGCAGAGCAGCATGAAAAACTCTGCCACACTCACCGGTGGACCCCCCCACTCTGCTGCTTCCTCTCATTCCACGTTGCCCGTAGAAGCACTTCATCAAGCTGCTGCTGCGGGGCGAGGAGGTCCCCCCAAAGGTGGCGGAGACGGGCCGCGGCTACACGCTGTCGGGTGGGGCTGGCTGGCCCGCAGGACAGCGGGGTTCTTGGCAGGCAGCGGCAGAGCAGGAATAGGGAGGCCAGCCAGCCCTATTCCTGCAGTGCAGCTGGGGCGGTCCCGTGGTGCCTGGGTGGATGGCAGGCGCGGCAGGAAATTGCATGCTGCCAGCTCTGCACATTGGCTGGCCTCACTGCCTGCAGGCAAGTCTCTAGACCCAAACTCTGCGGCTGCGCGCGCCTATGGGCTCAAGCCCGACCTCTTTACACGTGAGTGCAGCCAGGGAAAGGCCATGTTCGGTTGTGACTGGGAAAACATGGCCTCGTTGCAAATAGCAGCGGGCCTGCTGCGCAGGGCTTGGGCAGGAGGGTGCTGCTGGTGTGGTGGTAGAGTGGCTGTCTGGCACCCTGCCATGGCGTTGCAGGCATTGCGGGCACCGGAAAGTTGGTTGTGGGGGTGCACGTGACAACGCTGGACATGAGCGATGGGCCGCCGCCGCAGATCCAGGTGTGTGCAGCCAGCCAGCCCAGTTGCAGCGTGCCACAGCCGGTGCATAGCGAGCTGGAAGATGCAAGCAGGTCGGTGGGCTGGTAGCGTGGACCAGGAGGACAGGCAGCAGCAACACTTTGTGCTTGGATACGGCAGCTGCGACTTGACTGTCTGCCCATCCCTGCTGACCTTGCTGCTGGCAGCGTTCACGCGGCGGCAAGAGCCCCCTGGGCGGCGGTGGTGGCGGCGGCGGCAAGCGGCAGCGGCGCGGCAAGAGCAGCGGCGAACGGTTTGGGAGCGAGTACGAGACTGAGGAAGAGGATGAGGATGCGTTCCTGGCCTCGGCCATCCAGGGAGAGGTGGGTGTCTTTAAAGAAGGATGGGATGGGCATCAGGGTGGCCTGTGGTTGCGAGGGGGCGCCCGTTTGTTGCCTGCCTTTGTGCATGCTTGGTCCATTCCGTCCTGTAGACCTTCTCTTTTTGCCGGCCTTGTGGCATGCGTGCTTTATGGGGTGGTGGCTACCGCCAAGCATGGCCCCAGCCAGCTTACCAGTGTTTCAGCCAACTCTGCCCCAACCGGCACGCTTCACAGGTGGCGGAAGCGGCTGAACCAACAGAGTATGTCCGCAATCGGCCGCGGCGGCAGGTGCACGGGACGGGGAGGATGGGCGGCGGCCCTTCTTGCCTGATGCCTCATATGCAACGTGTTGATATGGCAAGCCTGCCTGGCTGGGAAACAGTGTGTAGCTGACCACATTCCCGCCCCGTCGCTCCCTGCGCTCGCCTGCAGGTTGGGCGGCGCATGCAGCTGGGTGAGACCACAGAGTCCACGGACCTCACTCATCTGGACAGCTTTGTGGGGCCGCCCGGCACCGGGGCGCCCATGGCCCAGGTGGGCTGCTGCCGACACCCCTGCCGCACCCACTGCTTTGCTGCCGGCTGGCTGGCTGCCATGCCAGGCACCCCACCCCGGCGCCCACTCACAGTTCCCTTCCCTGCCGTGCTGTGCCCACCCGTGCTGCCCGGCCCTCCTGCCCTGCTGCAGCCCTTCCAGGTGACCATCGACAGGCAGGCGGTGCTGGTCATGGACTTCCACGCACACCTCAGGTGGCAGCAGGGCTCGCCTGGCAGTGGGGCTCGTGTGCTGCTTTTGTTGGGGGTTGTTTGGCTGCTTGGTTGCACGTGTTGGCGGCTGCCTGCTCCCCTTTTCCACCCAAACAGCCCCCATGTGGTGCAGCCGGTGTGAGATTATTGGGCTGCTGGGCGGCGCCTTTGATGCTGAGCGGCGTATGCTGGAGATCCGGGAGGCCTACCCCTGCCGCCGTGCAGAGGGGCAGGCATCTGGTGGGGCTGCTTTTCTGCATTTGTGAACGACAGCCCTGGCTGCGTGTTCTCCTCTCCGCCCTCCCAACTGCCGTTCGCACTTCGCTGCCGCAGGCACGTCGGTGGAGCTGTGTGCTGAGAGCCAGGTGGAGGTCAGCGGGCTTATGGAGGAGCGAGGGCAGGTGCCGGTGGGCTGGTACCACTCGCACCCTGTGTTTGAGCCACGCCCCTCGCAAAAAGGTGGGGCCAGTCGCTGTGTTGGCAGGGCAGGGTGGCGAGCTGCGCATTGCCGTCAAGGCATTCGGAGTCCTCCTGGCCAACCTCTTTGGCCGCCCTGCTTTCCTCTCATGTGCAGACAACGAGAACCAGCGCAACTACCAGGCGCTGTGCCGCGATGCTGCCACCGGGCTGGAGCCCTGGGTGGGCGCAATTGTGGGGCCGTACGACCAGGGGCTGGAGAGCGCGGTAGGTGGAAGTGCAGTGGGGTGTGGCTGATGTGGGATACTGCATGGTGGTGTGATGTCGCCAAGGGCGCGCGTGGTGGTGGATAGGTGGGTGGGTGGGGGTCATTGCCCTCCCTGCGCCCCCATCTGCCAAACCTGAGCAGGCAGCTTTGGGTTCCGAATTGGCACTGCGAGTCATTCACTGATACCACCCCACGCGTTTCTGCAGAGCTCCCAGATGCAGCTGTGGGTGGTGAAGATGCACAACGGCGAGCTGCGCCCCTTCAGCATCCGTGCACTCACCACTGGCGGGGATACAATGCCCACGCAACACACCGAGCAAGCAGTCGCCATGTGAGCAGGGGCAGGGCACATGGCAGGGCAGCCAGGCATGACAGGAAGAGGCCCTGCTACTGGTCGAAGCAAGAGCCAGCCAGTAGCGCTAGGCAGGTGTGCACTCCCTGCATGGCTATGTTGCTGATGGCCACTTCACCTGGTACCCCCCC